TCACTAGGACCTCCAATGTTATATTGAATAACAATGGCCATAGTAGACAGCCTTGCCTTCCTGATCTTGGAAAGTTTTTACTTATTTGCCATTAACTATAATGTTGGCTGAAGGCTTGCCATATATTGCCTTTATTATATTTAGGTATTTTCTTTCTGTGCCGATTTTGTTAAAGATTTTGATCATAAATGGGTCCTGTATCTTGTCAAAGGCTTTTTCTGCATCTATTGATATGATCATATGATTCTTATTTTTTTAATATGTTTACGTGGTGTATCACATTAATTGATTTGAGTATATTGAACCATCCCTGTGCTTCTGGGATGAAGCCCACTTGATCATGATTTATAATCTTTTTAATATGTTGCTGTATTCAGTTCACTAGTACCTTATTTAGAATTTTTGCATCTCTGTTCATGAGAGATATTGGTCTGTAGATTTTTGTGTGTGTGGTATCTTTACCAGGTTTTGGTATCAGAGTAATATTTGCCTCATAAAATGAGTTGGGAGTATTGCCTCCTCTCGGTTTTTTGGAAGAGTTTGAGGAGAATAGGTATTCAATCTTCTTGAATGTTTGGTAGAATTGACTGGTGAAGCCATCTGGTCCTGGACTTTTACTTTTTGGTAGGTTTTTGGTGATTGTTTCATTTTCCATACTGCTTCCATTCTCTTTAGATTTTCTAGTCCTTATTGATTCAATCTAGAAAAGTTGTATTTTTCTAAGTACTGGTCTGTTTCTTTTAAGTTATTATATTTGGTGTTATATACTTTTTCATAGTATTCTTGTATAATCTTTTGTATTTCTGCAGTGTCTGTCGTAATTTCCCCCTCTTTCATTCCTGATTTTATTTATTTGTGTCCTTTCTCTTTTTTCTTTGAAAGTGAGTCTAGCCAGCAGTTTGTCAATTTTATTAACCTTCTCAAAGAACCAGCTATTTGTTGCATTTATTTTTCCTATTCTTTTTTTTTTTTTCAATTTCATTTATTTCTGCTCTGATTTTGTTTATTTCCTTCTGCTGACTTTAGGCTTCATTAATTCTACCTTTTCTAGTTTTTTTAAGATGAAGCGTTAAGTTGTTTATTTGGGCTCATTCTTGTTTTTGGAGGTAGGCCTGTAATGATATGAACTTTCCTCTTATGACCGCTTTAGCCATGTCCCAAAAGTTTTCATATGTTGTACTGTCATTATCATTCATTTCTATGTATCTCTTGATCTCTCTTTTTATTTCTTCCTTGACCCAGTTATTCTTCAGTTATTCTTCAGTAGCGTGTTGTTTAATCTCCATGTATTTGTGGTTCTTCCTGATTTTTTTCTGCAGTTGATCTCTGGTTTCAAAGTACTATGATCAGAGAATATGGTTGGTATCATTTCAACCCTCTTATATTCGTTGAGGCTATCTCTGTGTCCCAGTATGTGGTCGATTCTTGAGAATGTTTCATGTGTACTAGAGAAGAATGTATAAGCAGCTGTTTTGGTATGGAAGGCTCTGTATATGTCAATTATGTCCGGTTGGTCTAATGTGTCATTTAAGGATGTTAATTCCTTACTGATTGTCTATTTGTATGATATGTCCATATGTAACAGTGGGCTATTTAGGTCTCCTACTATGATAATGTTTTGGTCTGTTTTTCCTTTTAGTTCTGTTAGTAATTGCTTTATATATTTGAGGGTTCCCTGATTGGGAGCATAGATATTAATAAGTGTTATGTCTTCTTGGTGCTTCTTTTTATCATTATGAAGTGTCCCTCAGTGTATTTCTTTATCTTTTTATTTTGAAGTATATTTTGTCTGATATTAGTACTGCAACTCCTGCTTTTCTCTGAATACCATTTGCTTGAAATATCATTTTCCTCCCTTTCAGTTTGAGTCTGTATTTGTCTTTGGAGCTGAGATATGTGTCCTGGAGGCAGCATATGGTTGGGTTTTGTTTTTTGATCCAATCTGCAACTCTGTGCCTTTTTATTGGTGATTTCAGTCCATTTACATTTAGGGTGATTATTGAAATATGAGATCTTCTTATAGCCATTTTATCTTTTGCATTCTGGTAGCTTGGTGTTTCCATTGCTTCCTTGTCCTTGTGTTTCCGTTTTCTTTATTTTTTTTTTTTTGGCTTTTGTGGGATTTCCATCTGGTCCTTCTTGTTTTAAGTTATGTACTTAAGTTCTGAATCTTTGGCGTGTGGTTGCCAATATGACTATGTAAAGGAAATACACACACGCACACACACACACACATACATACATACACCTATATGTATATATACAGTCGTCCTATTTCTTCTGTGCATGCATTATATCCATTTCCCTTTGCAAATTTGGATCATTGAATCCCCCACTTTTCAGTCATTGTTGTCTCAATTTGTCCCTATGTATGCTGAACATTAATTGCTATCTTGCTATAGCAAATCTCTTCTTATTAAGCTTATAATACCTCATTCCTAATAAAGGTTGCACTCCTCTGCTTTTATCAGCCTGCTAGTTACCTTATGCCTAATTATGTATATTTTTTTTTTGTCATTTTGTTTAGGTGTGCTGACCCCTTTCAGTACTTCCTGTAGTGCAGGCCTCGTAGTGGAGAATACTCTCTATTTTTGTATGTCTTGAAAGGTCTTTATTTCTCTTTCATATCTAAAGGAGAGCTTAGGTGCATATAGTATTCTTGGCTGGTAGTTCCTTCAATTTAATAGTTTGAATATTTGACTTCACTCCTTTCTGACTTGTATAGTTGTGCTGAGAAGTTTGATGATAATCTAATGGGTATTCTTTTATAGGTTACTGTCTTCTTTTCCTTGGCTGCCCTGAGAATTCTGTCTTTGTTGTTGATTTTTGATCATTTTAATGCACTGTGTCTTGGCGAAGGCCTTTTTGGGTTGAGATAATTGGGTGTTCTATTGACTTCTTGAATTCCAAGCTCTAGCTTATTCCTTAGATTTGGGAAATTCTCGTCCACTATTTGTCTGAAAATGTTTTCTAACCCTGCTCCTTTTGCTCCCCTTCAAGAATTCCCATTCTTATGTTTCCTCTCCTGATGGTATCAGCTAGTTCTTGTATTTCTTTTTCGTTATTTTTCATTCTTCGGTTTCTCTCTTCCTTCTGATTTATTTCTAGATTTCTGTCTTTGATATCACTGATCCTTTCCTTCATTTGGTCGACTCTATTTCTCAAGCTCGTTATTTCATTTTTCAAGTCTTGCTGTGTGTTCTTTATCTCCAGAAGGTCTAGTCTGTTCTTTTTGAAGATTTCAATCTCCTTGCTAAAGAACTCATTCGCTAATCTATTTTTTTTACAATTCCTGAAATTGTTGATATGATTTGTTTTAGATCTCATTGAGTTTTTTCAAAGTACCATCCTGAATTCTATGTCATGTAAGTAGTTTATTTCTATGTCTGTAAGCTTATTTTCTGTAGATTTTTCTCTTTCTTTCTGAGATGCCTTGTCACCTTGGTTTTTCATGGTGTGTAATGGACTGATTCTCCTCCTGGGCATTAATGGAATTGTCTTCTGCTTTTTTTTTTCCCCCAGAAGATTTATTGTATAATGGTCCCAAGCCCATTGCAAAGAAGGTGTTTTTCTTTTGGTTTCCAGTAGGTGGTGTCTAAGCCTCTTGGATCTCTACTTTATATAGTCTTAATGTTTTTTTTTTCCTTATAGATGTTTAATCATGCTGGCTACCCTCAGTTTCAGTCCCTATCAGTGTTAGCAACAGTTTTGGTAGCGTTTGCTCAGAATCCCGCGGCGTTAGGTGCCATAGGATATGGGCGTGAGGCCCTCTTGGTTGGGGGTTGTGGCCTGCAGGTCAGTTTTGCAACTGCGTCCAGTAAATATCAACTGTTGTTTTTCTTCCATCCTTCTTCTATGCCTTCTGTCCTGATGACTGGGCCTTGCCACCAGCCAGCCATGGGGAGCTCAAGGCTTTCCCAGGCAGGGTTATTCAGGGAACTCAACGCTCCTTCTTCCCTCTCCCTCTCCTGCAGGGAGCTCCAGTTGCTAGTGGTAGCTTCTTTATTTCTCCCAGTCCACCACCCGACACCTGGAGTTCTGACCTGTGGTAGCTCTTATGTGCAGATCCCATGCTCAGACATGCTGATGTGCAGTTTGGGTGTTTTTTGTTGAGTTTTAGATGTTCAACTTATTGTTGTTTCAAGGAGAGAGATTTGGGGACATCTCTCACTCCGCCATGTTTAACCCAATCTCACTCTGAACATTTTAATTACTGAATATAGACTGTATTTGTGACTTAATATAACAGTAGAAAGATCTGGTACTTAAGAATTAAGGGGAAAGTCTTGGAACCTGCCCAAATCTTTATCCGGAAATTGAGGAAGAATACCCTCTTTACATAGTTTAAAGTGGTAGGAGACTGAAATTAAATTTTGTTTTTATTAAAATCCATGAGTCATGTTTTTTCAAAACGTGGTTTACATTTATATGTGTGTGAACATAAAAAAAAAATTGGCAAGATGGGCTCCAAACTCTTAACAATGATTACCTCTAAGTGGTGGAATTCTTACTTTATATGTTTCTATATTATTTGAATACATTACTATAAGAAAGTATTAGTTTCATCATTTTAAACAAAAGATTTAAAATAGGAAGAAATACTTTTTAAAAAGCCAGTACCTGTCATTACAGTAGAATTGTCCACAGATGAGACCTATCTTCTCTAAATCCCCTTTTTCTTTAATATCTCTCCCCTCTGAGCACAGATCTTTCCCTGATATTTCTTATCTTTTCCATTTCCTTTTAATCATAGATACTCCTTTATGATCTCTTCTTTTTATGATTACCACACATGTTTTAAAATTTTTCCCAGCTCTCTGCTTCTTGTCATCTTTTTATAGTCATTCTACTTGTTACATGGCCACATTTTAAGACTTTTTAACACCACAAGTGCCCTGTTTGCATTAATGTCAGTTTAATTTGGTAATTCATTATGCAACAATTTCTTTTTCAAAACAGAGAATACTGGAAAGTATTTGTATGTTCTGAATTTCTTTTAGATGGGGAAAATAAACCTGAAATCAAAAAATCAACTCCAAACCAGAATATTTCTGATGAAAATAAAACCCATGACATGATAATGGAGAGACTAGCAGGAGACAGTTTCTGGTACTCCATCCTAGGAAGACTCTGGGATTTTGATTACCAGTTAGAGTTTAACCAAGAAAACCAACAGAGACATTTAGGACAAGTATCTTTAACCCCCAAAAAAATCACACAGGAGAGAAGCCTTGAATGTAATAGATTTGGGGAAAACTATAAGATGAACTCAGACCTTATTATGAATCAGAGAACTTCTTCAATTAAAATACCCTTTAATTCGGACACACAAGGAAACAGTATCAAATATAATTCAGAATTGGTTGACTATCAGGGAAACTATATAAGAGAGAATATTTATGATTATAATGAGTATGGAAATATCTTCAGTCAACATATTATTTTTACTAATCATATTCATGCAGAAGAGAAACCCAGTGAATGTAAGGTGGCCTTCAGCCACAATTCATCTTTTACTCAACCTCAGATAGTCCTTACAGGAGAGAAGCCCTATAAGTGTGATGAATGTGGGAAAAGATTCAGCCAGAGGATACATCTTATTCAACATCAGAGAATTCATACAGGAGAAAAACCTTTTATATGCAATGGATGTGGGAAAGCCTTCCGTCAACATTCTTCTTTTACTCAACATCTGAGAATTCATACTGGAGAGAAGCCCTATAAATGTAATCAATGTGGTAAAGCATTTAGTCGTATCACTTCCCTTACTGAACATCATAGACTGCATACTGGAGAGAAACCTTATGAATGTAGTTTTTGCGGGAAAGCGTTTAGCCAGAGGACACATCTTAATCAGCATGAGAGGACTCATACAGGAGAGAAGCCCTATAAATGTAACGAATGTGACAAAGCCTTTAGCCAGAGTGCACACCTTAATCAACATAGGAAAATCCATACTCGGGAGAAATTATGTGAATATAATAAATGTGAGAAAGCCTTAAGCCATAGTCCTTCACTTACTCAGCAACATGTAACTCATGGTGGGGGAATCATATGAATATATAAATGTAGGAAAATTTTTGTCAGACCTTTCCATCTCATTCAATATCAAATTATTCATGGTGGAGAGAAAATGTATAAACAAACGTTTAATGCATAGAAAACAAATAAAGTTAGACCTTAAACTAGTAGCATTTTTCCAAGGAGAAGTTATAAATAGTGAAAATAATTTATATCATGATATAAAACTTATTGTAATGACCAGAAATTCTGTTGGCAGAACCTATAATTGTTCACCAGTAAGTTTTATGGTACAAGTTTTTAATTATAGAAACATTGATTAAGCAAGGCAATGATGTAATGTAACCAGTCACATAAACTTGAAATAAACAGAAAAGAACATTTCTCAAACTTCAGTCACTTGTGTTCTTCCTTTGCAGTTTTTATCGTATTTAGTGCTTAATATATTTCTTTAAAGGGACTCAGTTTTTAGCGTTGTCCTAGGAAATTTTATGTAAATTGAGTGTTATATGCTAACTATGTCTCTTCTAATTTCCATCAGAATAAATATATAACTGAAATTTAAAATATCAATTGATGTACCACCTAAATCTCTGTAGCATTATTTGCAAAACAATGTGATAGGATATGGCAACATGCTGTTATTGTTTTTTAGCAATCCTTTCATTCTTATATATGAGTGGTAGGATCACTTTAAGAGTCATGGTGGAGACTGAAGGTTATGTTGATGAACTTTGAGAGGTGATTCCGAGAAGTCTACTTTTCTATCATGCTGTTCTGGTTTTAAATTTCCCTATAGCAAATGTAAACTTTTGAATTAAAATTGTTGTTTCTGCTGTATTTGCAGGTTTGAATAGAGAAGTTGTTTGTTTGTTTGTTTAATAATGACCACAGGCTAAGAATCCCTATACCTCCCAGCACCACTATGGAAGACAGGAAGTAGGGGACTATACCAGTCAGTGAACTGTGGTGCTATGTTGAGGCTAAGAACCAGGGAAGAACTTTAGTGTCTTACATAAACAACAAAGGAAGTATTACTCATTGGCTCAATATTTTATTTGTTGAGATAAATTTATGTAACACCCTTTTTCTATAAAGAATTTAGGTGATTTAATTTGATTTTTAGGATTATTGCCTTGTTTGACAAAATTTACATTTTGATGTTCTGAAGCATGATAAATATAACCTGTCATAAGCCATAAACAACTGTAAGTATGAGGCTACTTCAGTTTCTTGCCTTTTCATTTTTACCTCAGTCTTCTCAGGCATGGCTAAAGAAGCCATGAGGCTAAGGTAAAAATGCATTCCCCTTGCTTTCTCACCTTTCTTCTAACATTTGTTCCAGCTTAAGACTTCCATGTTTCTCTCTTTGAAGTACTAGACTTTATAGTCCTGGAACCAAAGCTGAAATGATTTAAAGACTTTTAAAAATTAAAATACTAAAAACCAAGAAATTAATAAACTCATTTCATCACAAGAGTTAAACTTTTCAAAGTACTTTTATGTCCATATGTCAGTAGATGTGAAATATTTAATAAAACCTTGAGTTACTGTACTCAGGGAAGATTTCTAATAGTATCTTTTGTTCAAATATCTGTGTAGTGGAGATTTCATTTTCAGGGCAGATCAGTTCTGGAAGTCTCTTTTCACCAAAAGGCGTTACATTTAACATTCATTTGCCTATAGGGCACTCAGATTTTAGGAAGAGAGAGAGTGAGCCAAGGTGAAGTCTGACAGGAAAGATATATATCAAAGAAGTAATGATTAATTACAACTGGTAAAGGCTTTGATCAAAGTTTAGTATTGCAACCAGAAAAAGAAAAAAGCAAATATTTCACAAAGAGTACTAAAAGCTCCAATACAAGGCAGTGTATCTTAGGACTAGTGAAAAACAAGAACAATATGGTATTTTCAGAAAAGGGTCAGCAGAATTTGGACAACCCAGATAGAAAGTGTCTGGACTAAATGAGACCACAGTTGGCCAAGGATTTTCACCAATTTCTCATAAATAGGAATTGTAGATTAGAAGCCTAATATATATGTATGTATGTGTGTGTGTGTATATATATATGTGTGTGTATATATGTGTGTGTGTGTGTGTGTGTGTGTGTGTGTATTCATATTCCTTAGGGTCATTAATGATTATTTTTCTCTTAATTGTACAGTAAACTCATTCTGGTGTGAATTCATTCTCATGTTGTTCTTTGTTCTCTTCAAAATGTTCCAAAGTAAGGAGTGAACCGTAAGTATATGTTAATTACATCAAGATACTGATGTTGGAGTAGGGGAGCCAGAGGAGTAGTACCCATTCAAAAACCTGTTTGTTATTATTTATTTTTGTGTGGGAGGGCAGATATTACCCTTTCACATGTGTTAGTTCATCTAGTCCATCCAACCAAGTGTTTTGCCCTTCTTTTGTAAAAAGAAATACTTAAGCCTACATATAATAATAAAAGACTTATTCAGAGTTTCTCAGAATGAAATGTCACTCAAAAATGGATTATCTTACTCCTAATCCAGTAGATGCAAACAGTGCCAGGAATTGTATTTTATAACACTCTGAAAACATTTAATATATTTAAATTAATAAAATGAAAGATTGCTGCTCAACACCAAAATCTGTGTGACTGTTTCTCAGAACCTCAGAATATTAAAGGAGCATCATGTTGATAGGTTCTCTTATGTCCAGGAGGCTTATGTGCTTGGAGAAAAATACTCATTTGTATTTTGATTAATGTTCAGTTTATTAATTTAAGAAACCAACTGATATTCTTTAAATCACCAATATTCCTTTCCCAAGGTTCCAATTATTCAGTTATTCCTAGATTTAGGTTGTTCAAACATGTACTGTTTGTATTCCTACCTCAGGTTTTTGGTAATCTTGTCCAGCCCAAAATAAAAATAATACTGTCTCAGACAAATTAAGTTACAATTTCTGGATCAGCAACTAGTTGATCCCTGAGTCATCCAGAAAACCTAGTTGCACAGACCAAATAACTTTCTTTGGTTTGTTATAACAATATCACTATTATGTCTTGGGATGTTTTAAGACCAACCTTTTGTATAGATTTAAAATTTTTGATTCTTGAACTGCCCCCAAACCATTTGGTCCATTGTCCTGTCATTTTGATGACCTTGTTGGCTAACATTATTTAAAGCTTCTATATGCTTCCTTAGTATGATTAATGTCATCCAACTCCTTACTGAAGAATGCTAGTTTTGTTGTGTTCCTCTATAAAATATTTAGCTACCTCATTTAGCAACACACTGTTGAATCCTCTTTCTGCTTGGTTATTGTATGTGACTGTTAGATCTAATTAGTTGTTGAACCAGACTTCTACTTGCTATAAGGCAGAGGTCCCCAACCCATGGGCTGTGGACAGGTACCAGTCTGTGACCTGTTAAGAACTGGCCTACACAGCAGGGGCTCAGTGGCGGGTGATCAAGTGAAGCTTTATCTGTATTTGCAGCCGCTCCGTAGTGGTAGCATCCCTGCCTTAGCTCCACCTCAGATCATCAGGCATTAGATTCTCATAGGAGCACCCATCCCTGATGCCAAAAAGATTGGGAACTGCTGCTCTAAGGGATTATTCAGTTTTTCCTATTTCTTGATATGGCTCAATATTTTACATTATTGGGCTTACCCAGTACCCTGTTTATTCTTAACTGATTAAATAAGAATATACATGTATACGTACATGTGCACACACTTAGCAAGAAAAGACAATATATGTTACTTTTTCGAGATCAGTAATGAATCACACAGGGGTGTTCCAGTCGAGATGGCAAAATAGGTAAACTGTTCATCTTATCGCATAATTGCATGAAAGTTATAGCTAAATTATAGATCAACCATTATTAAGACTCACCTGAAGACTAGCTGAGCAGAATTCCTATGACTAAGAATGTAAAGAAACCAGAATAAGACTGTAAGAGGGGCAAAGATGTGGAATGGACAGGTCCCACACCCACATTGTGGCATTTAAGAATTGGGAGAAATACCTCAGCTGTGGAGTTTTCCCAGCCCTGCACCAGGTCCCCCAACTTGGGATACCAGTGCCAGGAAAAGCAGTCCCCATAATATCTGACTGCGGAAACCAATGGGGATTGCATTGGAGTGAAACAAAGGGCTACTGGAGTCCCAGGCATTCACTTGTGGGGCCTGCTCATGGACTTGCTCACTCACAAACTCATTAACTATGGCTTCCAGCACAGAAGCAGCAGCTCAAAGAGCTGCAGGGACATATGAGGAAGAATTAAATTGGTTACCTTCAGGGCAAGGGCTGGAAGGTCAGGGATCAGGGCAGCTCTCTCCGGGGTGAAAGTGTTAGCAGGCACCATTGTTTTCTTGTTGAGCGCATCTCACACATAACCAGAAGACATAAGCAAGTACAAAATCTAGGCAATCCATTAACCTGGCTAATACTGTTCGCACCACCCTGATGATTCCCTGAGACCAAATTCACACAACTCACAATCCATTTGAACCTTTTCCAGCAGTTTATACACACAAGTGGCCTGCTTTGACTCATGTGGACTTTACTAAAATCTCTTAAAGGTCCACAACCCCAAACAAGTAGTGACTGGCCTCAGCATGCCCTGTACCAACTGGTAATAAGCAACCCCAAGCCTGTCATAAGCTATGGCCAGTGTTGGCTTGGAACATTGCTTTAACTAAGTGTCCAAAAGCCCAGCACAAGTAGGGGCTGGCCTCAGCTAACATTGTGGTACTTACCAAAGGGTTCCAAGACTAGCACAAGTGGCAGCTACCTCAGTTCACGGCAGTCTCTTCAAGAGCATCCAGGCCCATCACAAGTGGCAACCAATGTCAGATCACTTTGTACTTCCCACCAGGAGGCTCTAATTCAGGCACAAGTGGCATCTGAAGATGGCTTACACTGAAGCCCCTCATGAGAGGCTACATAAACAACACACCCAATGGCCTGCTTCAAACAACACCATAGCACCCCAACCACCTCCAAAAATGATACTCGAAGGGTGGACTTGGTTTCATGAGAGCCCCACTAAATCAATTCCCAATTCATGGAATCAGCCCCCACACAACAGCTTGTCTGCTATAGTCATGGTCAGCCTTCAGCCAGCAGCCTGAGGATCAGTCCTACCCATACAGCAATCAAGTCTCAACTATAACATGAGGGCACACACAATCCACACAAGGGACACCCCTGGGGCACTCAGCTTAGGTGACCAGGGAGAATGTGCCTCTGAGCCCCACAAAATATCCACTACAGAAGGCCACTCTGCTAAGACTGGGAGATACAGCACATCTACCTAATAAATACAAACACAGGGAATCAGCCAAAAGGAGACAAACATGTCTCAAATGAAAGAACAGGACAAAATTCTAGAAAAAGAACTAAATGAAATGGAAACA